ACCCAATCCCAACACCACTCACCCTATGGTCACCCGATCCAAAGTCGGCATATCCAAACCCAAACATATCCTCAACCTTAACTCCATGGCTCAAATTTCCCCACTCTCACCCACCTATCGTAGTGCACTAAAGGATCAAAACTGGTACAGTGCTATGTGTGATGAATTTAATGCCTTGATTAAAAACGAAACATGGGAATTAGTACCCCCCTCCCCATCACAAAATATTATCACTGGCAAGTGGCTTTTTCGCCACAAATTTGGTCCTACAGGTGAACTGTCCAGGTACAAAGCTCGATGGGTGGTCCGCAGATTCAATCAGCGCTATGGCATCGACTACGACAAGACATTTAGCCCTGTTGTTAAACCAGCCACAGTACGGATTGTTCTCACTCTCGCTTTATCTCGTGGCTGGCCGATCCATCAGCTAGATGTCAAGAATGCTTTTCTGAATGGTACACTCCACGAGACAGTCTATGCCTGCCAGCTTGCAGGTTCTCAGGATCCCGCTCGCCCACATTATGTTTGCAGGTTGAAGAAGGCCCTATATGGGCTCAAGCAGGCCCCGCGCTCTTGGTATCACCGGTTTGCAGGTTTCCTTCTCACTTTGGGCTTTCGGGGCTGCAAAAGTGACACGTCCCTCTTTGTTTACTCTCATGGTTCTAACACGGCTTAACTTCTTCTTTATGTGGATGACATAGTTCTCACAGCCTCCTCCACTGCTCTTCTCGCCCGCCTTACTCAGAAACTTAAGGGAGAGTTCGCCATGACAGATATGGGCGACCTCAATTTTTTTCTTGGGATCATTGTTCAGCGCACTAGCGGCGGCCTCTTTCTTCACCAGACACAGTTTGCCCAAGAAATCCTGGAACGTGTTGACATGCTCCACTGCAAGCCCATCTCCAGGCCAGTTGACACCAAAGCAAAGCTGTCAGCCACTTCCGGACCCCTCCATATACAGATCCATCGTCGGCGCCTTACAATATCTTACTTTCACTCGGCCTAACCTTACATATGCAGTCCAGCAGCTCTGCCTACATCTTCATGCCCCCCGCAGCACCCATCTCACAGCTATGAAGAGGGTCCTACGCTACATTCATGGCACTGCTACTCATAGCATCACACTTCACCGTACGGGCACAGATTCCTTGCAGGCCTACTCCGATGCTGATTGGGCTGGATGCCCCGACACTCGTCGCTCCACCTCGGGGTATTGTGTCTTCCTTGGAGACAACCTCATCTCATGGTCCTCCAAGCGCCAGGTCACCACCTCCCGCTCCAGTGATGAGGCCGAGTATCGTGCCGTGGCAAACACCGTAGCTGAGGCTAGCTGGGTCCGAAATCTTCTCCTTGAGCTTATACAACCTCTACGGCGTGCCACTTTGGTCTTTTGCGATAACGTCAGTGCCGTGTATCTGTCATCAAACCCAGTACAGCATCAGCGCACCAAACACGTAGAAGTCGACATCCACTTTGTCAGAGACAAGGTTGCCCTAAGGCATGTCAGGGTACTACATGTCCCCTCCTCTTCTCAGTATGCAGATATTTTCACTAAAGGGCTTCCGTCTCTTCTCTTCTCCGACTTCAGACACAGTCTTGGCGTCCGTCCTTCGCCGGTCACGTAGTTGGGTGCATGTTAAATATGTTATGTATATATTTAATATTAATTATGTGATCATTGTATTTATGGTAGTTTACATGTATAGGTTCTCTTCCGTAATTAGGAATCTTCTGTAACTATTTATACGAGGCTTCGCCATCCGTTATTTCTTAATAGAAAATAACAATTCTTCAGTCATTACCACATTGCTGTCACGATCACCACCACCCTAGTCAATGACGGTGGTGGAAGAATTTGGTGGACACCCCTAATATAATCATTTATATTTGATAATTCTAAGGGAACAATTATTAATATATGTTTCATATTGCTTCAAAAAAATATTAATTATATGTTTCATAAAAAAGATGAGCTCCATCTCCGAAGACCCCTGGACGGAGGTAAATTGAACTTTATTTGATCGCAGATCAGTGACAAAGAGTGGAGCTTGCACTTGGTATTTGAACATGCCCAATGCTTAGCATAGCTGATTCTCTTTTCAAGAATCAAACTCGGGTCTTAATCTCTTCACACTCCTTGTCTTACCAACTACGAAACGCCTACCCGCAATTATATGTTTCATAATTTTATTAGATATAGGAATATTTTCGTATTATTTCTCTCTTAAAAATATATTAAACATATAATCTTACATTTTTAAACATAACCATACTACACATAATATTGAATTTCCACCGAGCAAGTATAGCATCTACGTATAGTTGTGCGTAATACCTCACTGAGATATCAGTGATCCGTCATGAGAATGCCACGTAGGCGCTAATCACGGATGAACACCGCCCCTCCCCCAGAAAACAACCCCACAAAAGATGTTTTGTTTGGAAGTGTGGTTGGAAGTTACACATTAAGGGTTCGGGCAACAGCTAGTCTTAGTTCTGCCATGAATTTTCTACAGTCTTTCCAAGAAAAAAGATGGAAATAGCCATGACCGGAACATCGAGCACCACCTTGTATCCATTGGTGGCTGCATTGATCTTGGATTTGACATGGAAGTCTTTTTGAGACCTTCTGATCTGCAAAGGTTCTTCGCACAAAGCTTCCTCAACTCCTCAGCCACATTATCGATCTCTTTGTCGCCTTTCTCGGCCAGCATCTCACGCATTGCCGCCGCGTTTTCCCTCACGCCTTTTCCACCCTCCCCCTGAACCACCGCTTCAATCACCGCCGCTATTTTACGACGGTGGTGCTTTCCACTGCTATCCATGACAACTTCCATCGCCACCCCTACCTCGGCTGCCAGCTTGGCATTCACGGGCTGGTCGATTTGCATGGGCATGGAAATGATAGGGACCCCGTATTTCATGCCCTCCATGACCGAGCTCCACTCGCAGTGGCTCACAAACCCTCCAATTCTCGGGTGCTCCAAGATCTTCGCTTGTGGGGCCACACCTATGACGACCAAACCTCTATCCTGGACCCTTTCTAAGAACCCGTCTGGAAAGACATGTTTGATATCGTCATGGTCTGCTCCTTTGGGAAACCTTAAAACCCAAACGAAGTTAATGTTGATGAGGTAGAGATCATGAGCAATCTCAGTCAAGTCTTCTTCGGTCAAGAAGTATTCGCTTCTGAAGGAAACAAACACCATGGATTTCTCCTTTTTTCCATTGAGCCACTTGATCACCTCAGATTCCTTATCTTCTTTACTAGGTTCTTGAACCAACGCCCCGACCGGGACAATTCTCTTTCCGGTTAAAGTGGTGGTGAAATTACTATATTGACCTTCGATCTCATCGAAGGTCTTGATCAAGACGAGACAACAAGAGCGGGCAAAGAAATTGTGCACGCTGCTCTCGTCTTTCTTGCGTCTCTCTGGAGGGGTCGACGCGTTCTCCTTGGCTATCTTAGCGAGCTCATAGTCTCGGTACCGGATGGCGGGGAAAGGGAACTCGGCGCCCGGCTGATTGAACTGTTGGAACATGAAGCAAGTGAAGGTGGAGCTCATGGTGAGGAACTCAATCGCAGGGATACCGGCTCCGCCGCCTCCTGTGGGGCCCACGGCGGGAGGAAATCGTAGATTAGGAGGTCGGGTTTGAAATCGCGGAGGTGCTGCGCAAAGGCGGGACGCGAGGCTTCGAACACCTCCTTGAGATGGGGCATGAGGTGCGGGGGGAGGCCGCTGGTGGTGTGGTTTTGCGGCGGAAGCTTGGGAGACGACAGGAGCGTGAGCTCGAGACAGCTCACGGAGGCGGCATTCCCAGCGGTGGCAGCTAGCTTCTTCTTCACTGACTCAAGGGTTGCAGGGGTTGAACTTATGTAAATCTCAAAATTTATCAAGCTCAACTTCTTGCCCAATTCCAAGAAAGGTGAGACATGGCAAAAGTCTAGCAATGGAAACATCACCACATGGAGGCGGCCATCGTGGTGGTGGTCGGTGTTGATGTTTCCCTATGTTGCTTTCATGGAATACATATATTTCTCTATTCCCTCATATTTACTCTTTTAGCTCAAAATGTAATTTTTTTAATTGTTTGAAGTGGATGAACAATGGTAAAAGATATGTGTTTATATATAGATGAAGAAGGTTGATTAGGGGTTTTGTGCATGCATGATAAGTAATTAGGAAGAAGTAAATACTTTAGAACATATATGGTAATCTTTCACTTCAGTGGAATCCAATAATATATTATTCGGAAGATTTTTGAAATATATATATGGCGTTGTATTTTTTAACTTTCTTTTTATCTCATTATGTTTCCTATTTTAGTTTTATATCCATAAAATTATGTCCCGAGAAACATGAAAATTGACAATTAATTTGAAGACAAAAATTTACAAAATTAAAAAAAGTAAAGCCTCATCAAATATTACTAAAAAAATTTGTTAGATTTGGCCGACCCTTTCTTTGAGGACCTAAGAAGGAATGAGTATAAGACAATCGCCAAAGATATGGATTAATTACCTTAACTTGTGTTAGGCGAAATTTTTTCTATAATTATATATATTTTCCCTCGCCCGAAATTAAATGTTTCATTTCTTTTTTGGACGTCTCAAAATAAAATGATCGTTTTTAAGGAAACAATTATATGTTTCATATTTTTAATAGATATACTCTGTAATATGTTTCATACTATTTCTCTAAAAAAATATTTTGATCATATAATCTCACTTTTTTAAACTTAAATATACTATACTGAAGATTGAATTTCCATCTAACCAGTATGGAGTAACATCTATGTTAGAAAAGGAAATAAATTGCAGTCATATATATTGTCGAATTCATCCATAAATTAAACAAAATAATCACTTATTAAATAGGAAATGATATTTGTACTCTATTTTTACAATGGGCACTCCACAATACTCCATCCATTTCTTTTTAATTATTCAATTCACTTTGTGTGCCGAACGTTTGGCTAATTACATATAAAATATACAATGAATTAGAAGATAAAAGTTATACTAAATTGTTGATATCGAAAAATACTTTTAGTTTATTCATTTAATAAATTTTTACCAATATATTTTGAAAGGTACTATTGGTCAAACATTAGACTTGAAAAGTGAACTCGACAATTAAAAAAGAATGGAGGGAGTATATTCTTAATGCGAGAGGGAGAATAGTATGGAATATATTTTGGAGTGTCACTAGCGAAAAATGAAATGGAAATATCATTTTTCGTACTAATTGCATATATCTTGTTTTCTCGATATTCCTCTTTCTATTTATTTTGTTGTTACATTATTAAGACAAGTGTTTTATAAAATTCATCTCGAACTTCACACATAAGCAAATTAATTAAAAAAAATAAATGTGCATCTCTAAAATAATTTATTAGGGAGATTTTCCTATGTAGCACTATAATGTAGCTAAAATTACCTATCTAGCATTTCCATGACATTTTTGACATCAATACAAATATCCAGCGTGACATTATATTTAGTGCGCTCATTCTACATTTTTTTCTTAATTCTTGAGATTATATGAATTTGGATACCACATTGCCTTCCCTTGCTGTCACACTGCCCCCTGCTGCCACCACTACCTCCCTCCCTTGTCACTAACGCCACCACACTACCACCTTTCACCGCCACACTGCACAACCTTCACACTCTCTCTGTGTTGCCACGCTACCTCCTCCTGCCGCTACACCTTCATCATTGCCACCCCCACCACCACACTGTCACCACAAATGCCACCCTCGCTACACTGCCACCATCACCATGCCCAGTGTTGTCACGCTACTATGAACAATATCAACGTCCACGGCGCACTTCAATCCTCCGCCACCACACATCTCTTCCACCACCACAGCACCTTCCCGCCGCCACACTATCATCATCACACCGCTACTATCATCATAACCACCACCGGAGTACACCCCTCCACCATACATCCAACCATGCCACCTCATGACCACTATCCCTCCAAACTATCATAGTCATTACCACACTGCTGTCACGATCACCATCACCCCAATCCGTGACGGTGGTGGAAGAATTTGGTGGACACCCCTAATATAATAAGTTATATTTGATAATTATAAGGGAACAATTTTTTTATATGTTTTATATTGCTTCAAAAAAATATTAATTATATGTTTCATAAAAAAGATGAGCTCCATCTCCGAAGACCCCTGGACGGAGGTAAATTGAACTTTATTTGATCGCAGATCAGTGATAAAGAGTGGAGCTTGCACTTGGTACTTGCACATGCGCAATGCTTAGTATAGTTGCTTTTCTTTCCAAGAATCAAACGAGGGTCTTACTCTCTTGACACTCCTTGTCTTACCAACTGAGCAATGCTTACCCGCAATTATATGTTTCATAATTTTATTAGATATAGTAATATTTTCGTATTATTTCTCTTTAAAATATATTAAACATATAATCTTACATTTTTTAACGTAAACATACTACACATAATATTGAATTTTCACCCGACAAGTATAGCATCTACGTTTGGCTGTGCGTAATGCCTCACGGAGGGGTGTCAGTGATTCGTCATGAGAGTGCCACGTAGGTGGTGATCACAGATGAACACCACCCCTCCCTCAGAAAACAACCCCACAAAAGATGTTTTGTTGGGAATTGTGGTTGGAAGTTACACATTAAGGGTTCTAGCAGCAGCTAGTCTTAGTTCTGCCATGAATTTTCTACAGTCTTTCCAAGAAAAAAGATGGAAAAAGTCATGACCGGAACAACGAGCACCACCTTGTATCCATTGGTGGCTGCTGTGATCTTTGATTTGACATGGAAGGCTTTTTGAGACCTTATGATCTGCAAAGGTTCTTCGCACAAAGCTTCCTCAACTCCTCAGCCACATTATCGATCTCTTTGTCGCCTTTCTCGGCCAGCATCTCACGCATTGC